CGAATTTATTGACAAAGTATCAGGGTAACATGACAATCAAGGAGTTATTCACTGAAATTTTCACTGAAAGTGAAAAATTTGAAATTTTTGAAAAAGTATCAGGGGAACATAACAATCGAAGAGCTCTTCAAGTTTTAAACAATATTTCAATGGATTTGCCATTTATAAAAGAAAAAATTGCAATTATTAAAAAAAAAAATGATTGACGGCGGGATCGAACCCGGGCCGTCGGCGTGCTAGCCAAGCGCGTTACCACTAGGACAACGCACTATTATAATAATAAAATTTCATTAGGAGTATATATTTTGCAAAAGTATCGTTTTAAAAAATTGCTAATTTTTCAATTTCACTGGATATCTTCTCGATTTTTAAAAATTAAGTTTTTAAACAATATTTCCATTGATTAGCCAATTAAAAAAAGATAAAATTGGAATTATTTTGAAAAAAAAAAAATGAATGTTGCTGGTATCGAACCCAAGGGATCCGCGTGCCAGTCAAGCGCGTTGCCAATTATGCAACTCGCTCATTATGAAAATTTAATTTCATTAGTGGTATATCTTCAATATATTAAATAATCTTTTTCATTTGAAATTCCACAAGATGTGGCTTCCCCCTTCCACTCGTTCTACAGTCAGCTAAATTTCAGTTAATCAATAAAAAAACAAAAAGCATTCATAGCGCAGAAAATAAAATTCACCCGTCGACACCCGATGGACACCCAGCATTTGCAATAAAAACTTGGTTAATAAAAAAAAAAAACACCCCAGCATTACGTGGCGCCCTCCCTCTCTTGGGGTGCAGTACTACGATGCAGCTGGGGCCACTCAAACCCCCAGAACTGAGCCTCTACTTTAGTCAATCCTCTTTGGTTCGCAGCTTCGGAGCATATAGAGCTTTCTAACCTGGCCAAGTGGCCTCCCGCCTTTTTTATCCACTCGATTGTTGAATTTTTTAATAGTGATAAAGTGCAGAGCTTCCATTAGTAATATGGAAAATAATGACATTGGAAAGAAATCTAAAAAATCCAGTAAACGACGATTACTCGATGGAAATGATAAAGTGATGAAAAAATTAAAGAAGAAGGCGAGGTGGGCATCGTTATCCAGTGAGAGTGATATCGAGAGGAGCCCTTCCCGGTATTCCGGAAAATTCCCGGACTGGTTGGATATGACGGATTCGGAGGACCAATTTGAAAAGCCGAAGGAGAAGAAGAAGAAGAAGAGAAAGATCGCGATTTCAGCAGAGGAGGCCGAGGTTTATACGAATGAAAAAGGGAAAAAACATTCGAAGTATGATGAGCCGGAAGCTGACGTGAAGCTGGAGATCTCTCCCAAGAAGAAAAAGAAGCAACCTGTGGAAGTGGCACCTGTTGTGATTGAGAGAGATCGTCCCTGTCCTAGAAGATTCAAGAAGAGTCTCACACCTATGGAGTTCAAGGAAAATGGTGACGTCAGCGATTTTCCTTCAAAGACTGAAGAAAAAATTTCCAGGAAGACCTCTAAAGATACTGAATCGACTGCAGAAGAGCCCAGGAAGGATGCAGCTTTCAGGAAAAAAGAGAAGAGCCCGAAGAAAGAGCCAAAAGCTCCTACAAACCTGTTTTCAGAGCACGACGAACTTCCCAATGATGTAGAAAAATTTTCAGAAGCCTATCCTGAGGTACTTGAAAAGCCTGTCGAAGTAACGGCTAAGTCCAGTCCCAAGAAAAAGCATCCGAAGAAATTGCCAAAGACCACTGAAAACCTGGCAGATCACGACGAACTTCCCAATGATGCCAACGAATTTTCTCAGGCTTCTCATCAGGAATTTAGAGAACCTGTCGAAGCGACGATCAAGTCCAGCTCCTCAGAGAGCTCCGCGAAGGCTAGATCACCCAGTAAGCCCTCCGAGAAGAATATCGAAGAGCAGAAACACGATCCTAGCCAAGCGCACAAGGAGCCTCCTAAAAGACCAGTGAAAAAAATCACCAAAGTGCCAGCTGCAGAGCTGGTGACTCTCGGTGAGGAGTACAAAATAAAAAAAGTGAATGAAAAGCCGTGCAGGGATTGTAACGAGCCTGTGAAGATTAAAATGAAGACGAGAGTGAGAGACATGGGGACGCAAACGATAGAATCAGCTGTGATGAATGGATTGAGGACGAGGGGTCGTCCCAAAGGTCCTCCTAAGGTTAAAAAACAGGATCCCGTCTCCGTTAAGGATAGAATAATCACCCCCAGGCAACCGACTGATCAGGACGAGTTTATCGATATGCATCACAAGCCCAAACCTCTCACTCAAGAGCAGATCGAGCAACTGAGGAGTATGACTGTTTCGTTGAAACACCCGGTACCACCACAGCATGATGTGGAGGTGACTGCTGGTTGTCGACCACTCACCTCAGAGGAGAAAGAAAATTTCAAGGCTTTCGAGACACTGAAAATTGGGGTTTGGCGCGTTGAAGAGGACCGGACCATCGTGAAGAATTGGAAAAAATTCTGCAAGAGACACAGTTGGAATCCGGACATAACGGCCCCATTCACATCCTGGAGGCACAAAGGGGCCTATTATATTCCCCAGATGGACGAGAGGAAAAAATTTCTACAGTTTCTGGCTCATGGACTCTCTAATAGATCTCTTTACAATGTTTATATGCGATTCAAGAATTTATATAGCACTCACAGAATTGAAAGGTATCAATATTTATCGACAGTAATTTCTGATGTATGTCCAATATAATATAATAATAATAAATTAGGAAATTCAATTATAACTTTTTGTTCTAGGTACTCACCTCTGGAAGATGCCACTCTCATGGCTGAGATTGAGAACAATCCCAATTTCGATAAGACCAAGTATCTCTCACAACTAGCTGAAAAATTAAACAGAACTCGACACTCGATATGGAGACGTTACCAGATTTTAAAAAAGAAGGCAGAAGCAGCCGACGACGTTTAGTGTGATAATTTTTTCAACACATTGGTTTTAAAAATTGTCTATTTTCATAGTAAAATAATATTATCATGAATAAATGGTAAAAAAATTAAAACGATTATTTAAGCATTTTCATTTATAGAAAAAAGATGCATACAATGATAATTTTCTCTGACTCTCGTATCAAATTTTTTTTTTTACCGACTACAATAGAATCTCGTCATAGTCGGCACTTCTCAATTTCTGTTTTCGCGTATCTTTCGGTTTTTCCTCTCTACAACCACGATATAAACGGACTCCACGATATAAACAATTAATTCTTTCGTTCAGTGAGGAATTGAATTCAACACAAAATAAAACCGAACAATAAATTTCTCTCGTATTCGAATGTGTGAGGAAAAAATTGAGTTTACGATCGCAGCATAATTCTCTGAATTCGCTTTTTCTACAGTTCATACGCGCGACTATAACGGGAGTCTACCGTATAATAATTCTAGTATCGTACTACCCTCTAATTCCACCTTCACATTATCCAACAATTTAGTCTCATAATACTAATAAAAATAATTGTAAAATGAATTCAGTCATTTATCAGCATGACTTGATGATAATCAGATGAATAAATCCTGATTAATGAAAAATGGTACAAACTCGATAATTCATTCAAATTTATGATTCACCCCGTTTAATACAAGATTGGACATTTCTGTCCAATGCACTGGGCTATCCGGGATTGAGGCAGCGATTCGGCATCAAATACCTTAATTGTACGATACTGAACCCTCCCCCTCCTTAAGGAGAAATCACCCTCAAAGACGGGGGAAAATATCTACAAATTTAAAATAATTTTAAAATATTTGTCCAATAACGGCAAGCGATCTCACAGCTGTCTGCACATTATTAACATGAATGTGATGAGCCACAACATTATGATGTTCCTCAGTCACCATCTCCCCATACTGAGCTCGACAGCGTTTCTGATGTGCAAAAAGTGATCCAGAGTGGCTGTAAGCAGCTCCACAAGTTTTGCAAACGTACGGTTTCTCCCCGGAGTGGGTGTAAGTGTGCTCCTTGAGTGTGCTGAGACGTTTGAAGGCCTTGCCACAGGTCTTGCAGAGATAATTCGCCTCTCCAGTGTGCCGAGTCAAGTGCCTCCTGAAGGCTGAGCTCACAGCGAAAGCAGCACTGCATACGTGACAGACAAATGGTTTATCACCGGTATGAATTCTTATGTGATTAGCCAGACTTGTTGTCGTTGTGAATCCACTGTTGCAAATTTTGCAAACGTGGGGTTTTACCCCTGTGTGTGTCCTCATGTGGTACGTCAACGAGGAATTACTGGGGTAGACTTTGCTGCAGATATGACACAGATACTCCCTCGGTACCTTCTCCTTTGGTTTATTGTGAGTCTTTGCGTGTAGCGCCAGTCTAGCCTGACTGGCGCAAACTTTTTTACAAATCTCACATACCACTGGCTCTGCTTTTGGTTTGTGCATCGACACGTGTCTTCTCAAGCCCTTCATCGTAGCCATCACTTTGTCACAGTGCTGGCATTTGTATTCACCCGAGGCACCATCCTCATCGCTCTCCTCACGTTTCCCTGAATTATCACTCGTACTGTGAGCCGGATGAGGGGGTGAGTCATCATCAGAGTCGAATAATTTGTTCTCGTCAATTAAATTGTCGAGAAGACCGTGTCCGTGTTTCTCAGCGTGTTTTTTCAGTGTATCCGGCCTGAAAAACCACTTTTTACAAACAGTACACGAGTACTTTTTCTCACCATGAACGAGTGCGTGGCGTTTTAAATTCTTGAGGGACGAGCAGAATTGATTACAAATGTCGCATTTGTAGAGGCCAGGGGCATTTTCGAATTCATCCGGCTCGTTTGCCTGAGGCTCGTCCTCATCCTCAGAGTTCTCCACTTTCGTGTCTTTCGTGGTGGTACTGTCGTTCGTTGAGTCGTCCACGTGTGTCTTCATGTGTCGAACTAGACTCTGAGGCTTGGCAAATGATGTGTGACACGTCTGGCATGCGTGGGGCTTGGTCTCATGGATCTTTCTGTGTTTCTCCATGTTCTCGAGTTTGTAAAATAATTTCGAACACGTCGGACACTTGTACTTCTTATCATGCACCTGCGAGTGATTCTTGAACCCTTTCAGGGTTGCATACTTCTTCTGACAGACTTTGCACTTGAATTTTGGCTCCTCTGAGTCATGCTCGTCGTCCTCCATGGACTCGAACTCACCGTCTAGCTCGTCAATGCTGTACGACTTTCCAGCACTTGGTTTTGCCTTTCTCGTGGGTCTCCTGGGAAGGACGTCAGGTATTATTACTTCTTCAGCCCCAACCAGCTCTTGCTCTCGTATTTGTTGTGGTTCGGGCTCGCACTCAGCCTGTGGCTGAGGCACTGCGTGCCCAGTGTCCATCATATCGTCGTCTTCGTCGTCATCGTCGTCGTCGTCATTCAGTGTATCGTCACCTGCAATTCCTTCCTCCTCCTCCTCTTCTGGGCTGACAGTTGAGGTCAACAAGTGCTCATTGAGGTACTGGGCTGCCTCACTAGGCTTCATCTCGGTTATCGAGTGCTCTGTTTCCTGAAGTCGGTGCTCCACGTCATTTGGCACCTCCAGCAGCACCTGTGTACCCCGCGGCGAGCACTGGATCTCGTCCGGATGGGCCTCCAAGATCACAGTGTCCTTCTCCATGTCCTTAGACCCATCAAAACCAATTTGACACAGAAATAATTTATCTTCAGAATCTATTGCACTCGCCTGAACCACTGTCTGATGATTCTGCGTGTACACGTCTATCGAATTAGTAAGCTCGTGGTCCATGCTCTGAATCTCTTCTTTGACGAAGTAATTCTGATGCGGGCTCTCGACTTTTTTCGTCACCAGAATCCTTATGTGGGAATCTGTTTGGGTACTCGTGTCGATTGGATCAGTACGTGGTGGCTTGTCGTAATAGAGTCTCAGTCTGGCGTCCGAGTGCTGGCACTGCTGGCGAAATTCGTGAGCAACATTTGCTTTATAAATACATACATCACAGATCAACGAGGGTAACCCATCTCTCTCGTGTATCTCTATTGCACCGCACTGTTGAATTTTGTGGGACAATCCAGAAAGATCGTCTAATTGCCCACTGCAGAATATAGATGTTAAATTTGTTGCCTCTGTCAAACATATCCTGCAGACACGATCCATATTCCCAGTCAGGATGTTGGTGACACTTATTCTCTCAATAATTGTTGACACTGTTAATTTTATCCTGAAAAACAAACACTTATCGTTAACTCATTTGATCGCCTTTAAAAAATACACTGAATGAATAAATTCGCAGAGTAGAGTGGGTTTCATTTGCCCCGGGGGCCTGCATTGTTACAAAAAGCATTCGAAAAAAGAGGAGAAATAATTAAAACAAATGGTTCTCAACCTTGAAACTCTGCGATCATGCCACGAATGCTGACGAATCTTGCACTCCTCACAGATCCTGTTGTAACATCACACTCTTGATTCTCCAGAAAGCCACGACTTATTATTATTTACATATTTACTCCTTCAACAGACTATTGTCACATTTTTGCTCAACGGTTTAGGAAAAACCTTCCATTGCCTGTTCTCTTTGTTCCAATGGCTTCCCCTCTCTATTATATTCTCAAAAAACCAATACGAGATAGCCGTACCTCAAGCCACTAAACAACAACCATTGGACAGAGTTGAGAACAATCATGAAGGGCTTTCATTAAATACATCCACCAAGAAACGGCCGGAATTTGTTGTTTTTGTGGTTTTTTTTTACGTTTTTCTACGAAATTTTTGCGAGAGGGAGATTTTTTCGCGTCAGCTGAGTGATGGCGGTAGGGTTTAATTTCGGGTCGATAAAGTACCTTCGGTGTAAAGTACCGCCATTTTTTTGAATAATTAAGTCTTCACGTGATTTTAAATGATTTGGATATTTCGGGTTGATTGTTGATGGGAAAGGAAAACGGAAGGCATTGAGGAAAATTTGTAATGACTGGTGACTAAAATTGATGGGTTAATTGGTGATGGGGGAGGGGGTGGGCTGGAAGTGCAAGTACCTTTGAACGTCGCGCAATCCAGTATGAAGTCGCCAGTGTGTCGACAAAGTCGTAGCAATCAACATCGTCAGTTATTCAACATTTTTCACTTTCAATCATTCATTGAAGGTTCATGTATTATCATTGGACGCATTGGCACTTGAAGCTCTCCAACGGCGGTCAGGGTGTCATCAGAGATTCGTTGATAATTACCGGATAAAGAGTATTATGGATTTGCAACAGCAGATTGCAGAGTTGAGAGAGAAATTCTTCAAGAAACTCGAGGATGAAACGCCGTCAGATGAGCGTAATTATTCATCAATTATTTTTCATCGTCAAGGACTTTTTTTCTTTCATTTTTACCTGGATTTTTTGTAATGGTTAGAATGATCGAGTGATTTATGTATTGTAATAGGGCTTGAGAGGAAGATATTTGCCCTTTGATCGGGAGAGAACAAAGGTCGATGGGATGTGGTCATTGAATAAAGTCCTCTGACTTTTCCTTCCACAGGATTTTCACATCCTTCTGTGACAATTATCCCAAGATCTCTCTGTTGCAGGAGGCTTTCATCCAGATGATTTGACGAGAATCAGAACGAGAGACGAGTACCTGAAGAGATGGCTGGAACACACGGACTTCAATGTTCAAGAATCCGTCAATATGCTTTGGTCCACCTGCGAGTGGAGACGGAAAGTCGGGGCCAATGGTAATTTACCCACAGGGATAAATTTACTGAAAAAAATTCAACAGGTTCTACAAGGATTATCAGTCAATAGAGAAAAGCCTGTCTCTATTGTTTTTTCAAATTGAAGCTCCTGGATTTCTGCTAGGCATCAATTTTCCGATTTTATTTGCATAAATTTTTGACAGTGATGAAATAATTTTTGTTTCCTCTTGTAGAAATCACAGAGGACAGCGTCAATCGTGAATATCTGCAGGATGGAGTGGTTTTCGGGTACGGGAAAGATAGAGATGGCAGGGGAATGTTTGTCATCAAGTCTAAACTGCATGTAAAAGGAGTTAGAGATTTCGGGGAGCTACAGAAGTGCATTATCTATTGGTTCGAACGACTAGAAAGGTAATATCTCATTAATTTCGTCGCTAATCTAAATAGGGAGGGATAAACCAAGCATTGCTCAATTAATTGATAACAGCTCCGACTGCAGCTTTAAAAATACCCAACTGTTACATTTTAATGCTAAAAAATCCGGTACAAAAGAGCGTATCGCATATTGTTTGATGAATTGAAACGGTTTATGCGTCATAAGAGCGAGTGCATTTTCAACTCTCATTGAATTTCAGAGAAGGCAATGAGCAAATCACCCTCTTCTTCGACATGTGCGAGGCTGGGCTTTCAAATATGGACATGGAGTTCACGAAATACCTCATAACACTATTTAAATACTACTACCCAAATTACCTGAACAACATAATTCTACTCGAGATGCCGTGGGTACTAAATGCAGCACTCAAAATTATAAAATCGTGGCTTCCAGCGAAAGCAACTCCAAAAATAAAACAGGTGAACAAGAGTGGGCTCAAGGAATTTGTTGATCCGAGTGTTGCACTGGTGTGCTGGGGTGGAGAGAATGATTACAAATTCACCTTCGTACCGGAAATCCGCAATGGTGTTAATTCGGTGAATGGCAAATTGGATAATAAAAAAGTGCATTTTGCTGAGGCGTCGCCGTTGAGTGAACAACCATCCTCTGGTTTTGGAGATCAATCGACCGAGGACTCAAGTAATTACCATCGACAATCCCGTGAAATTCCAGTTGCTGAAGCTCGGTTGTATTAATTATGCATTCGTTTTTTTTTTAGTGATTGCAATTACTCCAGATGTGCTGTCATTCAATAAAGAGGGGCAAGAGATCGTCGGTACAATTGCTGTTAAAAATCAAACCGCTGATAAATGTATTTCGTATAAGGTAGTATATCATCTACAAAAGGAATCACAGATGTGTAGAAATTTCTCTTCAATTTTCGCTTGTGATTTAAGTTAAAAACAACAGCACCGGAGAAATTCCGTGTACGCAGGAGTAACGGTGTATTATTGCCGGCGCAGCAAGTGACCATGACGATATCATTGCAGCCTGGCTTCAATTTACGTTCTTTATTGCACAATGATAAATTTTTGATCATGTGTCTGCCGATGGAAGATGCCAAGATGACAGCTGAAGAATTGGTGGATTTTTGGAAGGTCTAAAAAATCAAGAAACTATTTCTCTTTGTAATATTTAAAATTTATATTTGCATTGAATTTCAAGCATTGGCCTGTGAAATTTTTTAGACGAATGAGAAATCAGCAGAGCAGCACAGGGTATGGTGTCGTGATGGAACGGGTGAAACGACTTCTATTCTCTCTCCAGGGTCATCAGGAAGTGAGAGAACTATGGACCAGCTGCACACAAAGGTTTCATTTCCACCTCTACTTCTATTCCAAATGAAAAACCATTGTTTAAATAATTCTCTAAATGTTTATTCAACAAAAAACATTTTCCCAGCTGTCCCATCTCGAGGAGTGTCACGGCAAGCTGCACAAAGAGCTGAGAACTCTGAAGCACGTGATGATAATATCAATAATCTGGACAGTGGTAGCGGCAATCGCCATTGTTTACATTCTGCGTTTGGACATCGGGCAAATAATCACCGGTGATCAAAGCTGTCATCTCCATCGAGAGTAGTACGAGGACTGCGATTGCTAGTCCCCCAATACCTCAGACTCATTCAAACCCGGTGGAAAGCAAAATAATTCCACGATTACCGAAGAATTCTTCAACAACTGATAAACACCAAACGGTTCAGCTAAACAATTTTACAGCGCCGTGCAAATAATATTCCAGAACAATTGTCATTTTTCACAAAGTTTCTCTTTTGTTCGATGGACAAGTCTCTCTCACTCCACAAGACAACAATATGCAGCAATGAAATTCCTCAGACAAAAGAAGAGAAGAAGAATTTGGAGAAAAAATTCAAACAATCATGAGGAATATTTTTGTATGCCTTTATATACACTTGTGTGTCTGTGATGTGAACATAGAAACCTCCAATGCCGCCTGCGAACGAGTGATTATCCAAGCGGACAATTACTCCCTATTCTTTCGCCTATTATACAAAATGAATATCTAATGAACTGTTATTCGAGCTAAGAAATTATTATATATTTTATAATCAACGATATGATACAGATTGATAATTATTAAGGTAAAAAGGCTGCTTACTCAATGGAAGAGCAAATGAAACCCGTAACTTTGTAATTTATATAAAAAAGCTTAGAATAAAATTTGCAGAAGGAATCCCTGGGGTTTGTAATTGAATGAATGAGCATGAGAAAGAGAGGACGAGAGGAATATCAAGAGTTGGAGGAGATTGGTTAAAACGAGAGAAACAGTTGGGCAGTTGGACATGGCAGAAAGGGGGATAGAGGAGGGGCAATTCTCCCCACCATGTATCCCTTCAAAAGACAACGAGAGAGGGGATAGTGGGGAAGGGGAAGTGTTTCCCGCCCTTTTCATGTAGCGTCGAATTTCGTCCGTTCTGGCGTTAGTAGTAGCTCTCTCGAGGGTTCGGTGCGTCCTCTGCATTTGGCGGGCCTCACACTCAACAAAAGCAAAAATATCCAATAAAAAAGTCCACACCAGAGCCTTGAATCAACATCTAAACAAATTGGCGAACCACCGTATGAACCGTGAAAGCCAAATAAAAGCCTCAACTGCGTATTTCAATCGGAGTGTGTGACGTAAAGGTGCCTGGGTGAATAGTGATAAAATAATGCCTGGTACAAATCGCTTAGTGTAAACACGTCGTCCTCAATCCATCTCTGTCTCACTGACTGTCATTGGGGGGAAAATTATTTGTACTGTGATTGGTGCGCACGAGGTACTGCGCAGGGAAATTTTGAACGGGAGACACAAGCAACAGTACATCGGTGGTTGGAGAAGGGAAACGGAGAGGAGACGATACCAAGGAGGCCAAGAATTATTCCCAAAGTTTCGATCGGCCATATTGGGGTTACTTCGTTGACTCTTACACAACGCCCTCACACGTACGAACGAGGTAAGCGGATATTTGTCCAAGGCTTTCGTGGCGCCGCACGTTTTTTCTTTTCAACAACCCAGCGATAGGCCCCCCCGCAAATACAGACCGAGAGAGCAATATTACGGAATAACGTACATTACAATATACTCCATTCAAGAGGAATTATCAGCAGCAAGATCTAATGGATTGATTAGATTTTTATAAAAATCCATTATGGAATAACGACTAACCTCATTTGTGATTTATTACGACTCAATTGTTAGACTTTTTGTGTTTATTATGGGTGAGTAAGTAATGTTACGCGGGGGTAAGGATTGATATTGTGGAATGAGGCGAGGTGTTGTGGAGGAGGCGCGTTTTGTCGTTCTCTGGGTCCCCTTTGCTCTCGCCTTTGGCTCTGCGTCCCACCGTCCATATTGATGACAGCGCCGACAGTGATAATTTTGTGAAATTTTTGGTTTGTCCCCGTTAATGCCCCCTGTGTCCTAGGGATGAAAGCAGTCGTCTTCCATTCACATTTTCCTCGTGCAAATTAACATTTTATTGCTTTTTTTATAAATGTTTATGAGTCGCTGATGTATATTTGTTGATAACATGGCGAGGGTAGAGATGATGCCACCATTGCCAAGGGGCAGACCATCGTGGACGGCCAACCAGACACTCGTCTGTGTGCCACTTAGGAGCCCTTATGGAATCCTTCATCAGTTCATTCGATTTTCAGCCACATATCATGCTAAATTCATTTCCTTTTTATGTCCTCCAATGCCTGTCCTGGACAGGTACCGTGTACCTCACATTTCGTCGACTGATTATTGATTTTTTTTCCCCTCACACATGCCCCGAGATTTGACCATTTTTCGAGCAACTCGTCATGCTATGATTATCCAATGATTTTGGAGTAGTTTTAACAATTGTTTGTCCTCCAAGTGGGGCAATGGTTGTATGATTATTAATGTTTCAGTGTCTACTGATAATTCAGCATTGGAGTTGTGAAGATTGATGGTTTCACGATGTCGGCCAACGTAACGACGATAAAGCTTGAAGAAGGGCAGGAGTCGGTAACGGAGATACAGACTTACCTGGAGACGTTTAATAAAGAAATCGAGGGTGGCCAGGGTGAGCAGTTGCAGCATGTGCAGCGTAAGTTATTTACTGATTGATCCACTTTCTATTCAATGGCCAGGTCTAGCTTTAACCATTGACCACAGGATTGATAGAATTAAGAGGAAATTGCTTTGATAATAGTTCAGCAGGTTGAAGGTCTCTCTGGTGGAGAGGAAGGTGGTACGTACTTCGTTGATCAATCGGGGCAGTACTATTATCAAGCCAGCAGTGACGATGCACCGGTTATGACCCAAGTGCAGATCCAAGAAGTTGAGGAGGAGGGACAGCCCGATGATGCCCACGAGGAGCAGTACCACGAGGTTGAAGAGCTTGAAAATGTGGAGGCCGAGGAGGATGGACAAGTGTCCACCAATGGAAATGTCGTGTTGAATTCAGCAGATGCTTATCAAACGGTGACAATTGTTCCCTCGGACACAAATCCTGGAGAAGTCAGCTACGTCCTTATTGTACAGCAACCAGATGGTGAGGAGAAGGAGCGGGTCGAGGGTGAGGGGGTCGAGGGTGAAGAGGGTGAGCAAGATCTCACTGTTTACGATTTTGAGGACAACGAGGACAACGATGGGGCACAAACTGAGTATGAGGCTGACGATGACAAAACCAAAATCGTCAAATATCTCCCCAAGAAATCACAGACCGTCACCCAGGCGCACATGTGCAATTACTGCAACTACACGAGTCCCAAGCGTTATCTTCTCTCGAGACACATGAAGTCACACTCTGAGGAAAGACCTCACAAGTGCAGTGTCTGTGAGAGGGGCTTCAAAACACTTGCTTCATTGCAGAATCACGTCAACACTCATACTGGAACAAAACCACATCACTGCAAATTCTGCGACAGTGCGTTCACCACGTCAGGTAATATTTTCACTTTTCTCATTAGTGAAACCGTCTTATTAAGAATCCTGGGTGTTCTGTATAACTTGTGCTCCATAAATTGTGGGTTTTTTTTTCTCTTCATTTCACGCCGAGACAGTTACGTTAACTGCTAATGGAAGTTTTACGTTTTTACTCGACTTTACAGAGATTCACTGGAAGTTTTATTAGAATTCCGTTTATAAATTCTATTCTTTTTCTTTTGTGTGAAGTACATTAAAAAAAAATATATTGAATAAACCATTGCTAAATTGAGGGAGCAATTCTGTTGACATGACTCACTGCTGATCTAGTTCATCGAAAGTAAATTGAGTTCCCCTCAATTGTTCAGAGAATGCAATCTACTCTGAGTTCTCACTCCTCCGTGTTCCAAATACCCAAGTGTTCCAGACCCCCAGTGGTTTCTAAATTTCCCTCACAAACCTATGGCTCCAACATTTTCAGGGGAACTGGTGCGACACGTGAGGTACAGACACACCCATGAGAAACCGCACAAGTGTCACGAGTGTGATTATGCATCTGTGGAGCTGTCGAAGCTGAAGAGACACATAAGGTGTCACACGGGAGAGCGTCCGTATCAATGTCCTCATTGTACATACGCCAGTCCCGATACATTCAAATTAAAACGACATTTGCGTATTCATACTGGTGAAAAACCGTACGAGTGTGACATTTGTCAGGCGAGATTTACGCAATCCAACAGTTTGAAGGCTCACAAACTCGTGCATAATGGTAATACTACATTATCTATACAGCTCTACAACTATATTAAATATTGATTTATTTCTTGTTTTAAAAAGCGTGTGTATCATTTTTTGTAATTATTTTGCGCGTCATCAATAAGTTTGAAAATTCAATAGATCAGGCACTGGACAGGCATAATAAAAAAAATTTAATCCCAACTGCCTGACTTCACATGGCCATAAAATGTTACATAAAACTATTGAAAAATCTTTGGACTATCGAGGAATGAGAATTAGTGATTGTGAAAAGGCTCTGAGCATTGGTTTGGTTTTACAGTTGGAGACAAACCGGTATTCCAGTGCGAGTTGTGTCCAACGACCTGCGGCAGAAAAACAGATCTCAGGATTCACGTACAAAAATTGCATACCTCTGATAAGCCATTGAAATGCAAACGCTGTGGCAAGACATTCCCAGACCGGTACAGCTACAAGTTGCACAGTAAAACACACGAGGGTGAAAAATGTTACAAATGCGATCTCTGCCCTTACGCATCTATTTCCGCTAGACATTTGGAGAGTCACATGTTAATTCACACTGATCAAAAGCCCTACCAGTGTGATCATTGTTATCAGTCATTCAGACAGAAGCAGCTGCTGAAGCGTCACTGCAATCTCTACCACAATCCGTCGTATGTACCACCACCGCCCCAGGAAAAGACCCATCAGTGTCCGGAGTGTGAGCGTGCATTCAGGCATAAGGGCAATTTGATCAGGCACATGGCGGTTCACGATCCTGAGTCGTCCCTACAGGAGAAACAGCAGGCGTTGAAGATTGGCAGGCAGAAGAAAATACAGATCATCGATGGCCAGAGGGTCGAAGTCATGACTGGTTAGTTATTTTTCCCTTTTAAATCTATTCTATGTGGTTTTTTAGCGAATGTCTCTGGAAGTTTACGATATGATGAAGATCATTGACTAATCTCCATGCATTGGTTGTTGTGCGCAACAGGTGATTTAGCTTCTAAACTTAAAGGTTACGATGACGACGAAGAAGAGGAGGAAGAGGAGGATATGATGGCAGTGGAGGGAAGTGATGGACAACAGTACGTTGTTCTGGAAGTCATTCAGTTGGCTGATAATCAAAGCACAGATCAGGTAATCAATGAGTTTTTCTATTTCAAGGTTTGAAAAATGCTTGAATTCTAGTCACTCATTTTTTTTCTGGATCTAAGAAATCCTGTTTTCATGGGAATTCATTTGCAATTTTATATTCATTCTGGACAGATGGCTGTTGTAGCCAGTGAAGATGGCGATTTGATGATGCAGGATCCACTGAGCTCCGAAGCTGGCATAGTAGAATCATTAGAGAATGGTGAAGACGAGGAGGAGGAGGAGGAGGAGGAGATGAACTTGGAGGAGATCAAGCAGGCAATTGCAGCTCGTAAAGTTGTCCACCAGAAAGTCCACAATGAATCGAAAATAAGTAAAGACATGGAGAATTGCTTTGGCTTTGATGAGGTAATTTCTGGATAATTTTTCATAGGCTTATTCGCACAGAATCCATGAGGTGGTCGTTACGAATGACGTTTTTCAATTTCAGGAGGAGGAGGAGGAGGAGGAAGAAACGGGTACAGAGATTCGCCTCTTGGAGTCCCTCTCGTAATGATCAGCATTCAACTAAATGGGCGTAATGTACCTACTTAATAGTCAACACATTTGTCTTTTAATCGACAGAACGAGAAGCTCATGTTAACAGTGAGAGCCACACGTACATTGATTGTCGGGACTGTGGGATTAAACAGTGTAAATTAGGAAACTGTAATAATTTATGGATCTTATTGTGTTTAGTCGTGACCATTGAGGTTGGTAGTTTTTAAGAGAGATAAATGGTATAGGATTCATCTGGAAAAGCAGTGGTAAACAATCACATCAACTTTAAAAACAAATTCTTTCTTTTACGTATTTTACTCATCACGAGTTTTTCATTCGCATAACAATGCATCTACAGATGCATGAACGACAAGTGCGTGAATTGGCAGATATCTGCCTTGTAAATAATTTTTTTTTCCCTGCATTATTCTGTATTTGATAAGATTAGAGAATTATACTAAGGGTTTAGCTTAATTAATCAGAGAATGTACTCTGTATTGAGTGGATTATTCCATCCACGGTGTCAGGATGAAAGGTTAATAATTTTCATTGAAAGAAATACACGATTCCACAGACATGACCAAAAGTTCTAGCGTTTATTGGTATCTCTTACTGTACCAAAATTTATCCATTATTCGCTTGAACCTCGATGTGTTGAGGAGTAATTATTTTTCCATAATCTTTTTCTCCGGGTTCTATTCATGTCAACGTGAATCTTGTTCAGTTTTAGCTTAGGTTTCATTGAGATCAACGTTTGACGTTTTTTTTTCCATCATTATTGACTATTATCGTTGAAAAAAATAAATCACATATGAATCAATTCAGTAATATAGATGAATTCAATGCTGTCTGGTGTAATCGTATAGTTGGAGTCCACAATTTATTGGTGAATCGTCGTGGCAGAGTTAAAAGGGCACAAGTGCGATACCCGTAATTATGCCCTTTCATCTCTGTAATGATGAAATATAAATATATATGATATATATAGATATTCAAATACTGAGATGATTGAGTTTAAAAATAATCACTTGGCGAATGATTTTCATAATAAAATTGTTGCTCTTCACTTGATTCGTAGATGTGAAGAATCAAAGTAATGGAAATTTGTTCTCTGAGTGTATAAATTAAATCCCAAGAGCGCATACAAAAACCACATCGTTAAAGAGCTCTTTAAAATTCAAATTTCAAACGACGTAAAGTGGAATCACCTATGTACAATTTTTTTACACAACAAAAAAAAAATCTATTGTACAATTGTAATTTAGAAATTTGATCGGCACTGTTACATGCTGTCAATAATAATAATCATAAGTCCAAGAAAAAGTGAGTTTTATTGATGTGCGGTTACAATGGGTTAATTCTAGGAGGCTCGTAACGCAAGCGGGCAAAAAATTAATGAAGATGAAAGGCATGGCAAACAGCTCTTCCATCAGGGCTCTTTTGCCCTCAACTTTATTAGCATCGGCTGGTGGTCAAGGGGGAGACGAAAGGCGAGTCGGGGCCGCACCTAGGTGGAGGTTCCGTTGTGTGGTCGTCAACCCCCAAAGCCCCGTGGATATGAGCTGAGGACTTCGATAGATTAAATTTTGCCTCCATCGGATCGATTCTCTCCTAATTGATTGCCAGGTCTTGTCCCACAGTGAATGAACAAAAAAAATACTGCAATTACTAGACTAGAGTCATTTGTTCAATCATTAATTAAGTTTCATGTAGGTTCTTATTATTCAGATTCGCAAAAAGTTATTTTATAACAATAGCAAGCCTTTTATGGGTGATGGCTACATCGCAGGTTCGAGGCCAGGATAACAGACTAATTAAGTCGCGGTTGTACCGATATTTTATAAAAAGCAATTACAAGAGATTATTAATTCTTCATCATCATTCATCATTAGTCCGTCCTCCGTGTGAATAATTCAGTATAGAATAATTGGAGTTTGCAAATTAGAATTCTCTCTCTCAAATCTAAAATAAATTCCAGTGAAAAATGAATGACAATTGTGGAATAAAAGAAAATGTACCGACAATCAACATAATTCCCTCAAGGATTTGCTCCACATTATCACGTATTGCGAAAAGCCACGATGACTGATAAATAAAATCATTCCATTCACACGATGAAATTTGTAATCGAAATCCCAGCGAGTCGATTTGTACTGGCGATTGTCATGCGAGGTAAAGATTGTTGGACGATGTCTCGGGATACGTCGATTAACCCGGATAACCCTCCCTCACGGTGTGACCAAAAGCAACAGGGAATAGTCTGAGTGTAGTTGAGACTAGACAACCGAAGACAACGAAAGAGGATGGAGTGTGTTGTTGGTTGAGGAATAGAGGGGAAGCCCCGGGGATATCGTGATAATGCCAACGATAGGATACAGTCACCCAGTGTAGCCCAAAGCCTAACCGTTATTGGCCTGACATAAACGTATACCACAAACATTGTATATACTTGAAGAATAAAAAAAAAAAGTATCTGTTGAGATTGCAGGGTCTCCTGGGACAGGAGGGAAAGGAGGAGATAGACCTCACCTCACCAGACACATTGCCCAAGAACAATGATTCACGACGCGCGACGCCCTACCATTTCCGCGTTTTATATACACCACTCAAATGTACATTTCTTTTGTCCCCTTTTTTCACTGTCACCGTCTCACCCATGCTAACATTTATCGTGATACCTCACTCCAATCTACCACTATTCCTCTCGAAATCCACCAAAGCCAAATTGCGACATTCGATCTACAACTCCAATTAACTCCCCATCTTTATCTAATTTAAAAGTAAAAATCCCGACAGCCGCACCCCTCAGCCAATTTATATTGTTTTGACGCTCCAAGAAATTAGTGAGGTAATAAACCAACTATAATTGCACACTCGTAATGCAACAGCGTAATCCAGCGAGTGCACATATATTCCACAAACAATTAAAACTCGTTCGCTTTTTACTATTTGAGCGATGCACGCTTTCTTCGTGTGTTAATGAATAAAGTGGAGGAGTGATGGTGCGATTTAATAGTTAGGAGTGAAAGAATGAGGTGTAAGCCAATGGGCATTCTTTAAATATTCAAATATTCAAATATAATGTAGATTTTTTTTATCACCAGATGTAGCTGTTTTGGGTTCAATTGTTTTAGGGGATATTGAAATGCATGATAATACGCGAGTGTGGAAATGTATAACCGAGGGTATACGAAGGCGAAGGCGAAGGCGCGTAACGCGTTGGGTATACCTTTTATATACGTACACTATATAGTACGTGACTCCTCCACTATATACTAAATTTTCTACCCACTAACGTCAGTTATGTCCTGGCAGCGACAGACGTCAGCCACGCGATCCTCACGGTCAACACTTGGACGAATTAAATAACTCCATTCAATAATCTGTCCCGCTTTAATCAAGAGTTGAAGGTTTTATCTCAAATCTGGAGTTGATGAAGTGAATGATTGTTGTGGATACACTCGCAGTCAGATGAGGAAGAGGAAGAGAATTATGGGGATGCAGTAGTCCTGGGCGCGGGATTTCACATCGGTATTTCATAAAATACGTTAATTTTCTCATCCTGACTTGGGTGCAACTCCAGGACGTACCCACACGTATCCTCTGAGAAATGACATAATTGCACCAGTCACGAGGGCTTGCGAAAAATAATAACCCCCCGGGGGGGCGGTGAGGGGGAGGGGGTAAAAAAAGCCAGGGATTCGTAATTGCTCGTACCTGACGGAGTTGTTTTGTTTTTCATCGTTTTTTCTTATTTAAAACTCCTTTGGATGTATAATTTGAGGAGACTTTTGGGTGGTATTTCAATCACTTCTTCCTCTCTCTCGTTGGAGTAGAAAAAGGAGACGTTTAGCTGGATAACCAGACGTACCTTTTTTATTTTCTTTTTTTTTTTTTTTTCATCGTGAAAATGAGGTAACATTATGGGCAGTAAACTGCTGGACATGAATGTTACGAGTTGAAGATGGTTGTTTTTTTTTTTTAAAAACGTGGTTCTTCGAGATTTTAACGGAGCAACTGCTCTCGAGAGCAATGTGAATGCTAAAAATCAGGCTGAAATGGCTTATGTACTCTGGCGAGTGTTGACAAAGAAATATGCAAAGGTGCGGCTTGGACTGGCAAGTTTACCGGTGAGTTTATTTCCTCACGGAAGAATTTACATATTAGTTGGATTATTTGTTGAATTTTTTGTTGATCCAGTTGAAGTGCTGCGGGATGAGAGAGGCTGCTTGATTAATATAATCATCGCTAATCTCCTGGACGATGTATCTTATCTAGGATCTGGTGGATTGCCGACTTGCATGTTGATATGCCTCTCTCGTCCTGGCGGGCGGTCGGTCATTCCTGAATGCCGATATTCCTGATCAGTCCCTCAGGCCCTGCATCATTCCACTCCTCCTCCTCATCTTCCTCTTCTTAGTCTTCTTCTTCTCACCGTCAATCCTTTTGCCGCACTCTTCTTCAAATCTCCATAAACATAATGTCCGAGTGATGAATACACACGCAACCGAGAGCTCTGCTCGCGTCATCCAACGTCAAATGCACTTTTTAAATAATTTTTATCCTCATCTTTCCACGTTTCTCTATTCTCCATCCATTTTTATCCCAATCTGCATAGTACAACGTTTCAATCTCATGATTATTTATAGATCCCTGATTTCTCTGGCTATTTTGCAAATTCATTTCGCACTGGGAAAAACAATTTCTTACCTCTCCGGAAAAGTCATCTGATTCGAGAGTTATGTGTTCATGAAAAATAGTAATCGCTCTGTTCTATGAATAAATTATTTAAATTTGAGGTAATTAGACTGAAAGTAAGCAGCAATGTTGAGAATTTGCTGTTTTTTTTAATGAATCGGATTTATTTACGGTCAAAAGATATTTGATTTTTGAGGATTCTTCATCTGATATTCCATCTCCACGAAATTTTCACATGAATCAATTTTTCTTGGGAGGAAGAAATATTTTTTTCAGTGCATACGATTTTTCTCCTTATAATCCAGACATCTGTCTCGATGTCGAGTAAAAACAATTGCTCTGTCAAAGTGGAACTTTCATTGCATTATATTTCCCCGACTCATGAAAACCATTTTTCCATATTTAAAGTCCCTGTGAAAAAGTGTACATACATAGATGCAATTGCACATACCTCGTCCGGCGGATACGGATGGATTTGTAAAAAATTAATGGCAATTAGACGAAATTTTCTCGACAGTCGGAACAGGCATTGTTCTTAAAAATCCACTTACTGACTCAAACGTTCGCTCGACAGACCCGACAGAGAAAAACTTTCGCATTACAAAAAAAAAAATAAATAAATAAAAAACTCATTTTCCCCCATCCATGAAATTCGCGCTGTGTGCGGTGAAATAATGACAAATCGCTGCCATATCGATATATCGAATAATCGCTCGGAGCGATACAGCAATTTGTCATTCAGCAAATTTAAAAAAAAAAACCGCATCACAAGCAAGTGAGCTCCGCAGACCGTTAACTCGATTAAATAATTCATACCCACATACACCGGTATATGAACGTTGAGAAAATTTTTCAGGAAAGAGAATAAATAGAGCCACGAAATAAGCAACAAATAATGTGCGATTTGGTAACTAGAAAGGACGCGATGCGTATCTCGTTTTATTTATTCGTTCGCTCTAGTCCACCATTTCACTTCATTCAATATTAATTATTTAGCCCATTCCGTTCCCCTGAACATCCGTAAAGAAGTGCGTGCGAAGAGTGCATCATGCTGGAGCGTGAGATTCCCCATTGTCTTCACCACACATCAGGACAATTTATATTTTCCCTGGTGCCCCCTCAATCAATCTCCTTTTTTTTAATTAAACATCCATCTTCGCGCAACTCGCGGAAATATCAGTTATGCGCTTTCTTTATTAATTTTTTAAACTGAGATTTTTTGAAAATATCTCAACACCGCGGGTCTACCCAAAACGTCAACGTCTTTTAGCCCCATGTTACGTGCGATTGGTATCATTATTTATTACGTTATTAAATGTTGGGCGCTCACACGGGCCTCAAGAGATAACTGTATACGTGGATGAAAGGAATATGGCATAAAGGTATATAAAGGTATATATGTGCTCTTGAGAGATGTATGCACGGTAGGGCAATAAATTGAATGAAGCCCAACGCTCCTTAGTTGGACTCCCGACGGTGTCCCTCTTTTCTCTCTTCAAGTTCTCTTGCTACCTCCGCAAATTGCCAACAACATTCGAAAAACAGAGCGACAATACCACCGGTCTAGCTGAAATTTTCAATCCAATCGGGTGAATGGAGAACGTCACTTTGCCAGATTTAATGGCTTTATAATTAGGGACAATGGTTTTTTCATTTTACCGGTCATTATGGTATCGTTAAAGTCAAATGACGCTGCACTTGACGTGGACGATATTTTATTGACCGTTAAAATACTATTGAGAAAATTAAAACACGCTGGATACGTTTCAACAATGCAAATAACCCGTTTGTTTGACGATAAGCCGGGGCGTAGGCTTAATTGTTCGGTTACGTGATCGTTCGGAATTATCTAACGGTGTGGGGTCGAGATGAGGGGATGTCCTTAGAAATTATGGGGATATGTCAAATTATATCCCTTCAATATATATAGATAGATATTTTTTTTGTCAAGATTTGAATTAATTTCGTTTAGGTCAGAGTTATATCCTAATATAAATCCTAATATAAAAGGGAGAAAGAAAATTGATCTCGAAATATCTCGAAATAT